GGGTCGTTCTTTGAGAAGTCAGATTGCTGGGAAAGGATCTTTGACCAACAGCAACCGATACTTCCGGTTGTGTTGTGGTCTGAAGCATCTAACTGATCGCCTGGGGTTGTAGTTGATTGATTGTTGGAGTTTGGGGATTCGTTGTTGGCATCGATGAGTTAGGCAACACATTGTTCCTGACTCAAGAAGTATCCAGAATCTTCAGCTTGCTGGATTAACTTGGCTGAACGGCACAAAGCATCCTTTCGCATATTGGAGGTGACACAAGTATCACATCGAAGCTTCAGAGGTCGTTTGCCTGCTTGTATTTGTAGAGCAGTATAGTGCTGCCAAAGACCGCGCTCTTCCAAGATTGCTTGGATTCCTTTAGGTTGTCCAGCTCGTTTTGGGTCAGGGTGTGCAGCATCGTAGCAAAATGACTGGGGAAGACCACGAAGATGTTCAGGGATGAGGGGATCGTCTGTTGGAATGACTGAGTCTCGTAGTCTTGATTGTTTTCCGCCGTGATTCAGATTCATATTTTGAACTCTCAAAGCTGATTTCGAATATGCACCATGTGCAGAGGAGCAGTCAAAAATAAAAACAGCTTGGGAATGTGGATGCAGTATCTCAAAGATAGGTATCGCTTTCTTTGAGACTTGGTGGCAAAGCTGCTCCATGTCCCACCATTTATCCCCAGTTGAACCAGGATAAATCACCATAGCAGCGTCATCGGATTCGATTTTGTTGTCTCGGAATTGAGCTTCCGAAAGCTTTAACCTTCCGGTGGTCTCCAGAATGAAGTCGGAGATGTGAATCAGCCGGCCAACGTTTTTTGATCTGATTTCTTGTGTCCCAGGAAGCAGCCAAGACGACTTCGGTCGCTCTTTGGCATGGATGGTGGACTCGTCATGAAAAATGAAAACGGTTTCTTTCATTTCGCCTAGTACTTCGGGATCGACCTGGGAAGCAGTATCCAGATTATCGCCACCATAGATTCTTGACCGCTTTCGATAGTTTTCCAAATCTTCAATGTACTTCTTCCGAGCTTCAATGACATCCGATCGCTCGTGTCCATCAAAGTAGAGTGTCTTTCGGTGCTCTTGAGGTCTATATCCAAGCTTTATCATCCAGCGAGTTGCAGCGTTACGGCTGATGCTTTTTTCTATGTTGAACTTGGGGAAGATTGTATTAATCACGTATTGTCGGAATGTAATCGGAGTAACCTGTAAATCAAGAGATACTGAATGATCAGTATTATTCACCAAGAATTAGTCTTGATTGGGAGTTTGGAGCTCACATGACCCGGAACTTGAGACGCTGCCCAAGTAAACAAAGTCTTTCGAAGCTCAGCATTATCCAATAATGAAGCATGAGTCTTGCGATTTCCTCGCTTCACTTCGGAGAGATGCTTATTGTTGATTACGTGCGTAGCTTGCCTTGAAATCAATCGAGAAAGATAGATCCCACTTCTATTTTTGGGAGGAACAGTTCCCATTGGAAGCTGCTTGATGGCAGACTGGGCAGCTTTAAGTGAAGCAGTGGAGCTGGGGGATTTGGTTCCATTGAGAGTGTATTCGAGACGGAGATTGTTAAAAAGATAAAGATTGTTCATCATTGCTTGAGGAAACTTGAATTTTTTTTCTTTCTTCTCTTTTTGTTTGTAGCGTAAGGTTGCTGTGTTTAGCGCTGAGCTCAGCTCTTCCCATTCAGCACGAGCTTTCTCAGAGATGCTGGCAGAATTCGGTGCCTTGATGGCTGACAGACGATTTTCCAATATGGACGTAAAGCGCGCATTGAGAGACTCATCGTTTGTTTCTTTTTGGTGGGAATCGAGAGACTTGCTAGTGACCGGTTGGTTCTGATTTAAAAAACTGTCCTGTAGAGAAGCTGATTCAAGGTCTGGATCGATAGCTGGATTGACTGTCGCGTTTTTAACTGGTTCAAGACGGATGAAATAGTTCTTGAACATCTGATTGTTGGCTCCAATGGCTTCGATTTGACGCTTTTTCCGATCATGTTTCGTCTGTTTTGGGATTGGTGCTGGGAGAAGTTTTTGAGAGGAGGAATCTGGGTTCGAAAGAGGTTTTTGATAGCCATTCTTTCCAGATTTCAACACACGTTTCTTAACAGAGTTCTCGCTAGAAGAAAGGCAGCCAGAGAATATTGGCCAGAGCTCTTCCAATGGATCATCATCCCCACTTTCGTCGTCAGATGTCTCATCATTGATCGCGAGGTTAAAGTATTGAACCAAATCATTTGCTTGATTTCTGGCTTCAATTTCTTCCTCTTGGAACTCCTCAAGCTCGTGATCAGTTGTGCTGGTTTGAACTGACTTTGGGATGTCGATGACTGGGCGCGTATTGAGGAGCTGGAGTTCATCATCATCAGCATCGCTATTTATTTGAATTGGCACTAGTTTGGTTCCAGGGGGATTGAGCTTCTTTCGTGGTTTTGTCTTCTTGGTTTTCTTCATGGCTGCCTTTGGTACTGGCGCGTCTTTCTCGCTCTTCTCTCTACGGCGACGTCTTTGTTGACCCTTGGCGGCTTTTGAAACATGGCTAGTTGTCATTTTTGGGAAATTGTTCTGGGTATATAGGAAAATGGTTAGAATCAGCTTTGTTTCTCTCTGGGGAAGAAGCTTAATATTTACTTATACATACATCTTTAAGAATACCGACTCCTTTTCTTGAGACTGAGGCTAAAATTGCTGTAGGTATCTACTGTCTGGAGGCCCCGATCAAGAGAGGTAAGCAAACTCTCATAAATGGAGACCAGAGAAACATTTGAAGTGTCCCCACTGCAAAAAAAAAATATACTCTCAGCATAATTTTGGGTTAATTTTGACCCCCTGGCAATCCGGACCCAAAAAAGGTCAGTACAGGTTAATGACATGCGCAACTGTATTTGGGTCTGTGATGCAAGGAGAATTTGGAGTCAGCACTTGATTAGTACATATGAAATCTAACAAGGACTCACCTTCATTTATTCCATCATGGCCTCCCATGGTGGTTTCTTCACCAGCAGTAGTGGTGTGAGCTTGATCTTGAGGTGACAAAGTCCCTAGATATTCAGTTACCTCCCAATTGGAGTGAAGAAGATTGGTGGATGGAATTTGGTCTTCATCCACTGGTTGATCATATAGCCTCATCCTGCCTTGAGACTCATATTGAGCTACTGGGATGAAATTTGGCTTGCCTCCAAAAATTTGGTCCATTTGCTTGTAGAAGGGGCACATTGATTCTAACTTTGCTTCAATTCTTAGTGCCAGTAAATCTCTTCCTAGAAGCTTCCCCTTGAGGTGAAGCCATTTGTTGGTCCAATTGTTCATCTAAATAGCAAACACATTTTATACTGAAAACCTAGTTAGAGATTCAGGGCCAACAGATTTTCTAGTACTGTTTCCATATATCTGGGTATATTGTTGGGGATCTTTGAGGCAACTGCAAATGCGCTCATAGTGGGTTGCAATAAAATGAGGATTGGGTTCTGCAGTTCTGCTCTTAGATTATCTCCACCACGGGCCCCATATCAGGGCCTGCATGGCCAAAAACAACACCCACGGCGGCCCCTATGTGGGCCCCTATAATAGGGACAAGGCTCAAAAGTCCCTATCGAGCTGTATCTATATAGACTAAATAGGGCCTCACCTTCACCTGTGATCCTCCTCCCTTGAAAGGTTTCACAAACACCTCAATCCCTGGTCCTCCGACCTCCCCCACCAAACTACATCAAACACCTACTACAATGGCTGCTCTAGATCCGCTCCTCACTCAAACCTCATTGAAAAACACAAACACGACATTGACTACCACAAACGCTCTGGTGTGTAAGAGACACATCTTGACTCTTCACTATTGTAACTTAATTAACGTCAAGACAGGAAATATGCCTGGGGAGAACTTTTCTAGAACCTGAATGTGTCTGAATTTCAAGGAGCTAGCTTGGTAGAAGAAAAAGGCTGATGTTCTCTCAGTACAATTGATAATCAAAACTAGAAAGAAAAGGAAGAAACATGATCATAAAATGAAAAAGGAAGAAGATGTGAAATGGATTTTACTCACCTAGCTCGGTAGAAGAAAAAGGCCAAAGTTCTCTACCAAGCTAGGCAGGGGTGGGGTTGGATGGTTTATAAGGGTAGATTGAGTTGGGGTGATTATGTAAGCTTCTATGATTGATTTGTGAAACCTTTGTGTGGCGAGGTTTCACATGGTGGCACTAGGAGGTATGTAAGCTTCTTTCCTATGTTGGGAAGAACCATCAATGCTAATCTTGATTCAATGTCTACTCAGTTCCAAGTCATCAATTACCATAACAACTGAAGCCAGGCCGCAGCTCTTTGGAAGAAGGCGATCATTCCAATTCAAAGCTTACAAAATCAAGCCACTACCAGGAGCATGAGGATGTCCAACTCTGCAAGGCCTGGATAGCTATAACCAAAGATTCAAGAATTGGAACCAACCAGAGTGGGGCAATGTTCTGGGGTTGAGTCCACAAGCTGTATAGTCTTGTCATCTCTTGCTTATACTCTCTGATTGTTTCTCAAATTTTTGCCTATGATTCTGTTTGTTCTTGATCAATCACTTTTTTGTTCTCTTACAACCAAAATTCAGGGAAATAGAACAAATGATTGATGAATCATTTGATTGTTCTTTTTCATTCAGAAGTTGAAATTTAAAAAAAAAAAATAAAAAAAAATAAAACAAGAAAGAAAGAAAGAAACATAATGATTGATCAATTGAACATTATCTTTCTTTCTGAAGACGCAATGAAAAAAGCAAAAGAGAAAATGATACAAAAGAATTGAGTTGAGATAATGAAAAAGAACAAGCAGGATTGATAGTGTGTATGATAGAAGAGAAAAAATCAATCATAGAAAAAAAAGATTGATTGTTTGATGAATTAATAGATGGATAAGGAATTATAACAATTGATCAAGGACCAGCTATTCAGAAGAGCAACCTTTAAGGTCCCAGAGATGCTTAATCAAATTGTTGCGGAGCTGGAAATGTGTTTCCACATCACAAATTGCCTGATAGTTGGATAAGAATTCATCAAAGGCAAGGTTTGATGGGCTGGACATATCAACTGGGCGGATGACTTTGAACGTTGTCATGACATCATTTTTGTCGGTGTTATACTCAAAGTTGAACTTCCCTTCTCGCTCATCCTCCACAATCATATTGTGGAGGATGACACAAGACTTTGTGATGTTGACCAGTTTATGATGCTTCCAGCCTTGTGCTGGATGAGCAACAATAGCGAATCAAGCCTGTAGTACTCCAAAATTCCTCTCGACATCTTTCCAATACACTTCTTGTTTCTTCACAAAATGTTTCTGATCAAGCTCCTGTGTTTGCATCAGAGTCTTGACCATTGTAGCCCAATCCGGATATATTGAGTCGGCAAGGTAATGAACCATTTTGTATTTGTGATTGTTGATTGTATATTTGCATTTGGGAGCTATACCGTTTTGGAGATTCTTGAACAGAGGGGAAGTATCCAGTATGTTGATTTTGTTGTGTGAACCTGGCATGCCAAAAAAGCATGCCAGATCCACATATCTGCTGAAGCAACGGCCTCAAGAACTAAGGTTGGTACCTACCAAAAAATGATTTGTATTCAGAATCACCCAACCCTCTAATAATAAAGAAATTTAATATAATTTACCTTCATCTTTCCTAGGAACTGTCCTTTCCATCCGGATGGGCAGTTCTTCCACTCCCAGTGCATGCAATCTAGGGATATGAGCATTCCTGGAAAGCCTCACTTCTCTCCAATTCTGAGGAGTCTTTCAAGATCTTCCTTTGTTGGATGGCACAGATATTCATCTTTGTAAATAGAAATAATAGAGTTTCAAAATTTGTCCATGCTCTCCATCAAAGTTGTCTCTGAGAGCTGTAAGTACTCATCATTGCAGTCGGCAGCACATCCATATGCAAGCATGCACAACACATCAGTTATTTTCAGCAAGGGATGCACTCCCATCTTCCCAAGTGTGTCTGGCTTTTGAAAAAAATAATTCCTGTGTTCTTCAACGGGTTTTGCAATCTTCAAAAACAAGTCGTGACCCATTTGAAATCTTCAACAAAACATATATTTGGCAGCGGTAGGCTGCTACGCTAAGCTTTTGGCCCAAAAAGCGTAGTGCAGCGGCACTTTTTTTGCATCAAAAAAATGTAGGGTTAGCGCTTTTGTAGCAAATTTTTGCTACGCTACGCTGCACTACAGCGCTTTTAGCGGTAAAAACGGCCAAAAACTGCTAAAGCACAGCGTAGTGGGTCCTTTTTTGCGGCCCACATGCGTAGTGTTAGAGGTGTCTTGGCAGAATTTGGCTGCGCTACGCTTAGCACTAACAGGAATTCCGCTGCATTACACTACAGTTAGTGTAGTGGCCCACCGTTGGATTTGGGGTACAATGGTAGTTCAGCAAAGTAGTGCTCGATGAGTTTTTGGTAGGAGCCTTCAAAGTTGCATGGTAGATTGGGTTTCTTTCCTGGCCTAGATCCACTGTAAACGGGTTTGTCATCTTCATCAAGCAATAGGTTGGTTGCCTGTAGGATTGCATATGTCCTCACACATGGACCTATACAGAATTTCCCCAAAGGGAAATCTTGTAAATTTTAGGGAAATTCTGTAAACATTGAAAAAATTTGGATTTTTTGGATTTTCTGAATTTTTAGATTTTGGATTTTCCAGATTTTCAAATTTGTAGATGCTCTAGATATTCTAGATTTTTCAGATTTTTTAGTTTTTTTAGAGTTTTTAGCTGAGTTTTGAGAAATTTTAGAAACTTTAGAAATTCTAAGAATTTATAGAATTTTTAGAATTTATTTAAAAAAATCTAAAAGAAACCTAAGAAAATTTGAAAAAGAATCTGCAGATTCTTTTAATCTAAAAACCCTAATGCCAAAAAATCGAAAAAATCTAAAAAATCTAAAATTTTAAAATTTATCAAATTTCTAAAATTTCTAAAATTTCTAAAAAATCCAAAAATTCTAAAAATTCTGAAAAATGTAGAATATCTAGAGCATCTACAAATTTGAAAATCTGGAAAACCCAAAAGCTAAAAATTCAGAAAATCCAAAAAATTCAATTTGTTTTTCAATGTTTACCGAATTTCCCTAAAATTTACAAGATTTCCCTTTGGGGAAATTCTGTATAGGCCCATGTGTCATATTTGATCTTGTAATCAATCAAGATTTTTGTTGGCGGATTTTATAGAAGGTCAAATCTTCAGTCAGATCTTTGGTGTTCATATTTGAGTAGAAGAGAGGTGGCAGGGATGGTAGGGGATGGTTGGGAGTGGACTCGTGGAGTTTTATGCAAATATGTATTCCAGATAGCGCCTTCCAGTGGAAAAAGAGAATCTTGCCGTGCGCTATATCTTTTTTTGGTCCCTATTTGAGGCATATAATGTCAGCCACAGAGTAAATGTCACAGTACCTTTCACGTACCAAGTAACTGCAAACACCTGTACTTATTTACATAAGTACATATCCATAATGTTGTTTAACTTTACCTCTTGTTATCTTATCATTATTATTAGGGGGTATCAAATAGGGGGTATCAAATATAACCAAATCCACCATTAATTAATTGACTGGTTTGAAAAAATCTACCCTTTTTTAAACATGTTGGTTATCCATTTAACCCCTCTTGGGGCCCATTTATGCAAAAAAAAATTTTTGGAAAAGTGACTGGTTTCTGATGGTGGATTTTCTATATTTGATACCCCCTAATATAACCAAATCCACCATTATTTAATTGACTGGTTTGAAAAAATCCACCCTTTTTTAAACATGTTGGTTCTTCATTCAACCCCTTTTGGGGCCCATTGATGCAAAAAATATTTTTAAAAAAGTGACTGGTTTCTAATGGTGGATTTCCTATATTTGATACCCCCTATTATCTTATCTTATCTTATTTTATTTTATTTTATTTTATCTCATCTTATCTTTATTGATTACATATAAGCTTAAATATTATATTATCATTTGATTACTTATCCATTATATATATATCTGTTTTATATGTAAGTAATTATCACTTACCTATCACTCCCTTGTCTGTGAAATACCTGTACCACAAATTATCCCTGTTCTACAGTATTTTCACGGTCAAATATCATTACAAATAAATATGTACATGTATTGAATAGTTAGTACTAAGTGTTAATAGAATTAATAAATTCAATACATGCACTGATCTCAATTATGACTGCATTATTAGAGGATCTGTTAAAGTGCACACATCAAGAGCAACTAGTACACAATTATGATGTAACTTAATGATCATGACAAATAAGGATCAGTCAAATCAAATGATGTGCTCATCCTCCTGGCCAAAGATCCCTTGATTCTGAGCGCTCATTCTTTCCCTCCTTCAATATTCTGGAACTTATAATCCGTGCCTCTTTCACTGATTAATCCCCAGAATATTCAGACACCAGTTAAACATAGTTAACATTTATTTTGATACATTACATGTAACTCAACTTAAATCAAACCTACTTATATTGTTCTTAAGCTTCAGTCAACAACTCAACTTATCCACAATATTTATAGCCTTGCTGAATATTCCCGTTAACAATATCTATTAATCTTCAACTAATTTTGTTAAAGCTTAATAAGTATTGTCAGTCCTTTCCCTTCTGGGAACCAAATCAATCCCAGGTGAGTCCTAGTACCCTGGATGCCTATTAATACAAAGTATTGATCCGGATGCGCTGTGGATAGCAAGCCTCTCAGTCAAGACCATACTGATAGAGTGAAACCTCCTCATTACAGGACTGGTATTAACAACCACTACCTACCACTCACCACACTAAAAACACTCAGTCAACCCATAGTAACAACCTTTCTACCAATAAACACTCAGGTTAGTTACCCAGAGGCTGACATATAGGGCCCCACAGATAGGCCCTGTGGTGGAGATGCTCTTACTGGTGGCTGGCTTTGCTGCTGAACAGAATGTATTGGATGTTGTTTTGAGGGCAGCCAAACTTCTAGCCCACTGAGAGTACACCCTTTGTGGGTCAGGAGCTCTCTAATTTTCCAACTCCCAAAACCCTGCTCAATTTTGGAGGACCAATTCCCAAGTTGAGGAGGGTTTTTTATTTTTCATTATTTTCTTTGGGTTTTCAACTCCCAGAACATCCTGAGATATTCCTTGAGACATCCTTGGGGGTTGGGAGTCAACTCTCCAATATTTGGGAGTCAATTAACCAAGCCCCCAAAAGATAGGGGTATCCAAAGTTGGACCATAAATTCATAAATATTTTTTCCTCATGAATGATTTAGGCATGGATTTTAATTGTGTGTAGAATCTTACAAATTGTTTCTTACAAGGCCTTGTAAAATGTGTCCTTGTGAGATCACACATTTATGTAAGCAGTTCTGTGAAAAAAATTATTCATGAATTTATGTTTATACATTTATTCACCAACTTTGAACAGCACTCATATTGAAAAAAGGTAAAAAAATAATCAGAACATAAGGATACAGTTCATGAAGAATTGGTCCTTTTGAGAGCTCCAGGAGTCAAATATTCAAAAGTTTTCACTGCCAGAACTAACTGCTGGGACTGGCAGGTCTGAAAAGTCCTCATACCGGCCTGTCAGAGAAGTCCTTGGACCAAATGGGCTTTTCCAAGCAGTCACCAGGAGGCCCATCATCTCCTTGGACAAGTGATTTCAACTTCTTATTGGTCAACCACTTGGACAGGCAGGTCCAACAACTTGTCAGACCTGCTGGTCCAAGCAGTTAGTTCTGGTAGTTCTGATAATGCAAAAATTGAATTAGCTAAGTTTGACCTCACTGGGGGGAGGGTGTAACTGATATTCAGTTCTCCCTATAGATGAAAATCTCATCAACACACCTGAATATTTAGCTTTCTGATAAATGCCTGTTCTCTGGCCAAAACATTTTGTAACACCTCTCATTAGAAACCAATTAGATACTGTTCAACTCCCAAGCTTACTTCCATGTATTCCTCCCATTTCAGCTCATTAAACTATATATAAACCCTACCACCCCACAAATCACTACCTTGACCATTTAATATGACTTGTGAAGTCTTGATTCCATCTGATTCCCTCTTTTGGCTCTAAGTCCTTTCTCTTTGACATAAGAACAAGAATGAATGGATGGATGGAGTCACAGAAAGATCACTCAAATTAAATTACAGAACAATGAAACAACACATCAACATAAGCTTTGTTTTTCAAGCCATAGTAACTACATTCCTTTTTCTTGGACAGTTAAAAATTGAAAACTGCACTTTTTTTTAAAAAAAAAGGGCAACACATACTATAACCATTCTTTGACATCTCTCACGTCTAAAATTTGTCTTTTAAGAAAATTACGGGTGTAGAAAGAATCAAGTGGTTGTTGAGAATGTAGATTGTTTTATTTTTATTCCAGCTAGTGAAGTACTCGTATAACCAGGAGGTGACGCTGAGTAGTTTGGATGGTATTTTTCTTCTGTTGAAGGAGACAGATAGTGAACGTTAAGACGTCTGAGGTTTTATGTTCCAACCAAAAATGACAATAACTGCGGCGATTCACTCACCTGATTGACCATCCTCTTCTGTTTTTTCGGTCACATTCTGAAGTGAAATTTCTGCATCATCAGTTTGACTGAGGAATAAGGTCCTAATGCCGGTCCTTCTGGCCGGCGGAAGGCCTCCCTCCTCTTGACTTCCTGAACCGAACGTTGCTTTTTGCATTCTATTCTTCCTGTCGGAACGAATTTGATGGGAGTGGAAATTCAGGAGCAGAAGTATACTAGATTAAAATTAATGAATTAATGCATTGAAGTCAGCTGAGAGATGAACACCTTTATTCTTTTTTTTTTCTCCAATGCTTACAAATTTCCAGTGAACGCCAGTGGAGCCATCAAACCCTTGAAATGGCCGAAAACACAGAAGAAGCATGGTGAGCTATAGAAGCTGTGAGCGGATTGACAAAGGAACGGAACTCACTTGATGAGTTACTTCTTTGTACGCGACATTGTGCAAGAAGTCGCCTTTACTGTGGAAAACCTGAAACAATGAATGAAAGATTTGATTTCAGTACCAGTCGCTTCGGAGTTCGTGAGACCTATGAACCGGAGGTAGCCATATCGCAACATACCTTCCAAGCTGTCGGTGGGAGGTGGACTGCCGTGCTTACAAAAACGCATAGCGCGTGAAATACCAACCTCTGGCGCTCGCGATGGAGTTTTCTACTGATCCGAGATGGTTTGGATCCCCCAGAGGACCCCATTGCCGCGTCGATCTTGGCTTGAGATACTGATTGTTTGTATAGAGCTCTTAGTGAAATTGTCAGAAGTGGTATGTAGATCTGTGAGGAGGAAAAGCGGCCTCGAAAAGAAATCTCAGCGGTAGAACAATGTGAGAATGAAATATCAATCCTACAGAAACTTACAGAAATCAGACAAGTGATGATCATGCAGTAGATCACAGTTGAGGTGGTGAGGGCGCTCTTCAATCGATCCTAAGACACAGATATGCGTTTTTCAAGTGAGTATGTGCCAAGAAACTGTATCGAGAGGAATGAGTACTCACATTGAGAGGCGCAAGATCACTTGCTGGCAGTAGCAGACTCAGCAATTTAAAAGAATGGAAATTGGTAGGGTCGTAAGTTTTACCCTCTGCTCGTAGTTTCGCAGCAACACTATGGATAACCGTTTCAATTTTGTGGAGGTCTCGATAGGCTTGAGTGTATAACCACGATATGAAAGCTTGGGAAGCATGAAGTGTCAGTCAGCCAGCTTTCTGCAAATTTATCCAAGTAAAAGTTGTATGCTTTGGGAAGTAAGGATTGAAATGATTGCGAGAGAAAACAGGACCTACGGATTGGCCCGAATGCGCAGATCAAAAAGAATGTGGAAACGCCCCACTTGATGGCGATTTTCAACCTTTCTCTGTTCATGTTGGAGGCCATGTTCGAATTCCAAAATATCTGTGCACATTGGCATGCAGAAACCCATAGGAGTGCTGAGTCAAGAGGAACGTCAGCCAGTAATCAGATTCGAGTGACAATTGGCCATGCGTACCCCTGTAGAAATGTTCAAGTATCAATAAACTATCACAACTATCATCTCTTCTACTACTAGCCACTTACCAAGACCCTAAAACAATCGCAATGAATTTATGACCGAAGACACACAACATTGGGGATTCATCGATCAGGTATCCCCTATCCATAGCAATGACCACCAAGAGGACGTATATTGTCACTATCGGAAGTGAGTTTCCATGAAATATCAGTTTAGATTGGCTATGCTAGAGTCTGCGTAGTTGCACAGGCTCACATGGCGCGTAGACGAAATAAGCCAAGGCTGAGGAATCGGATATGTTAATAACAAGCAGTCCGACTACGATGTGATTGGTGAAGAGCAGTCAAGTAAGCCGTCAGAATTCCCTCAAGAATTGGAACACCTCTCAGTGTTTGAGACTACTGCAGACCTCTGTTGTACTTCAGTTTTGCGGACCGATGAATTTTGATCCGTTGGTATAAGAGATACACAGCTTGGGCGAAGATGCTGGATCGAAACCAGGTCAGGCAGGCTGAAAAGTCAGATTTCCGAAACTCATATTTGCTAATTGGGAAGGGGCCTGCCAGTACTTACATGCAATATAATACCAAGACAACGATCCTCAAGCGGCGTGACCATAGCGGACTTGGGGGAGACTGGATCAAATTATTCTTAACGCGTCTAGTATAACTTGCAATAATATAATTTTTCCTCGCAAGCTGGTAGCCTCGGAGAAGTCGAACAATGCATGTAAAAAAACTCACCCTTATCATTTCCTCCAGCTTGTTGGCTGTCGCATTATAAGGGTTGACGTTGGGAGGTAATCTCGCGATAAAATGCAACAGTTTGGTTGTTTCCGACATCGTCTCCAACTGTCCTTAAAATTCCTACGGCGAGCTAGTAAGCGAGATGTTCGATATTTCGGTGATCAGTTGCCCACCAATCCGGTACAATAAGGGTTGTACTCATGCAAAACTCAAACACCAAATGGACGAACACGATTGGCAATGGTAATGATGTAACCGATACATACAAAGCTTAACAGCAAAGTGCTGCAATATTATAGTATTAGAGGGAAGAGACTAATAAACCACTACATATATTATGCCTCAATTCAAGTCGACTGCTGTATGTACCTCTCTCTTTACATTGTTCATAGTCGCTGTTGGCTCCAGCGATCTCCCTCGGCGGCAGTTGATCTTGAAAGAAAGCAAATGTTTAATAGCTTATTTGGCTGGCAGAAATCTGACGTCTGCTAGGGTTTTAATGTTTTCCAAAGATTGTGCTTAACATCAGCATTCACTTCTTCATTCCGTGATATTCATGGGTACATAATCTATGTATACTGATAACTGTGAAATTCAGTCGTTGATCTCTTCAGATTTCGCCGTTCGGCGCGCTTCGATGCCAAGCTATCTCAAGGAAAGCAATTTAATTTCAAATCTACAAACGTAAGTTTTGATAGGTTTTGATCGGACGATCCCGCTATTCCGTATGCGAAGTTGAGAGTATATCGGCATCGGTCCGGTCAAATGGCGGCGAAGGTTTTGAACCGGAGTCCGGGCAAACAAAGGTATCGCGACCAGGGTGAGGCCTAAGGGGGACCCAGGAAACCCCCTAGAAATCTCAGTAACCAAAATGTATTTTTTTGGCAAAACCCCAAAATGATACTCACCAAAAATTTATGAATGGGCATTTTGGGACAAACTGTTATAAGTCACCTGAATCAGTTTTTGGCAAAAATAATTCCTAAGAATCAAATTTCTCAAAAAGAAAAAGCTGATGATAGTTGATAATTATAAGTTCCTCCCACTACATACTGTATGCAATGGCAAATATTTCTTGATTTTATTTTTATTTTTCAAAGCCTAAGTTGCTAGGAGGAATGGCTAGCTGTAAAGGAAGTTTGGTTATGTGCTTCCTGGCAAGAAAAAAATGGTACAGACAAAAAATATACAAAATTCTAGCCTCTAGCAGCCAAAAAAAAAGTTAGGCACAAAAATTGTATGAAATTTTTGGTTGACCTCTGAGCCTAGGCACAAAACATGTATGAATGAGTCCCAAAAATGTATGACTTATTTTGCATTACTGACATCTACAGAGGGTTTCCTGGGTCCTGGCCTAGGTTCAGGACTTGGGATGAGCTTTTTCAAAAAACCCCGGAACCCCAGGGTTTTGATACATTATAGAGCCCAAGTTTTTTTTTTTTTTTTTTTCAATTTGCACTGGCCTCAATCTTTTATTACATGATGTTCTGTGCTACTTCATTTGTGAAGATGTATTTTTTGTGAGAATCATGAGAACTGAAAAAACAAAGGAATGAAAGAAAGAAACAGGATCAAAATGGCCCATCAAAGGTGTGGAACCAAAGAGGCCAGGGATCTGCTGTGTCAGAATGGATTTAAACCCGGCAATGTTCCATTCTGACACAGCAGATCCCTGGCCTCTTTGGTTCCACACCTTTGATGGGCCATTTTTTTGATCCTGTTTCTTAAAACCGGCAACATGATCAGAAAATGGAAAATAGTGAATGAAGCCCCATGGTTCAGGGGTTTGAACCCTAAACCCCGGGCTTCATCTCTCAGGATGGACTTCCAACCGCAGGGCTATGCCGTAGTGAGGACTGCTTAATCAAAATCAAATTTCCAGAAGGCTTGTTTAATTTTAACAGACCTTGGCCGGTTGGTGCATACATATTGAATATCTCAGATACAGAGTCCATAATTCAAGTCTCAGCTTGAAAGCCAGGTGTGACTCTGAACCGATGGGCTCATGAGTTAACCTACATGCCCTAACCCTTGAAATTTACCAAAACATAACCAACTAATACAGATCAGGCTTCATTCCTGAAATGTCTAGAATTTTTAATAGCCAATGGAGCACTGGAGCACTTCCCGTCCGATCTGGGACCCTTGCAGATGTCGATTTAGACCCAAAAAGTCTAGAATTTCAATGGGAAATCGAGCTTTTGAGGCCTCTAAATTGCTTCTGGGAGACCCGCAGATTTGACGGGAAGTCATCCACTTCCCATTGTGATTTTAGAATGGTTTTTTTTTTCAGACCACTTTCAGTTCTAAATTAACACTCTAAATCACAATGTAGAACCAGCTCACATGAGCAACATTTCAACAAGGCCGGTTCTGATTTTTTTTTCTGCCAAAAATGAAGACCTAATTGGGGGTCTATGCAATCAAATTCCTCATGATCAAGGGTTGTGAATGCTGACAGGAAGCCATCCAATTTCAAGGCCTTTACATATCAACAACAACATTGTTTTTTTTTTTTTTAAAAAAAAAAAAACTATGTGTGTAAGTAAGTTGGAGAGATTTGGGGGTTTCTGATCACTTTGTACAAGTTTCTAAAACTTGAAAAAATGGTTGGTAAACCCTTTAGAATATGAGCTTTGAAATTTGATAAATTTTCAATCATCCATGAACCCAGCTAATGAACAACAATGTATGGTTTGTTATACATATTGAAGAGCCCTGAGCTTATAAATGCATTGTCTCAAAAGACACAAAACTCTACATGTTAACTTACACCCTGATCAATGATCACATCAGTTTCTTTGGCATCCTTATACGAATCAAGACTTGATCAATTCCTGCTTCTTTTCTCACCATGTTGTATCTCCTGATGTTGGGGCTGTTTTGTTCACTGTTTCTTTTTCAGAAGGGTTTACGTATGTATATATGGTTAAGATATACATGCACTTATGGAGGGTCCATTACTATCCACCACCACCAAAAAAAAGGAAAAAGGAAAAGGAAAAGGCCAAACATTGGAATTAACAAGTGAAAGTAATAATTTCACGGCATGCATTACAGAAAAAAAAAAGTTAAGGAGAAAGGAAGATGAACAAACCCGTACTCGTACCAAACGGATCGAAAAAAAACAGCACAATGTACAACAACAACAGGGAAGAAGAAGCAGCAGAAGAAATTGGAACGATCAACTCAAAGCGAAGAATGAAACAAGCTTCTCGACAAGGGGAGCTTGAAAGAAGATCCCGAGCCGACGCCGGCCGAGGACGAATTGAGGCTAGAAACGAGCTGGGCGAATCTGCGACAGTCTTTCCAGACCAGACTGGCGGCCAACGCGCTTGTCTCTTGCAGGCCGCCCGTCTTGGCGCCCCCGAGCCGACCATCCTCCCTCCTCCTCCGCTCTCCCTTCCTTCGCCTCGTCTGGATCTCTTGCTCAATCACATGTCTTCGTAAATAATACAACACCATGTCTCCATACACTTTTTTTTCGGGTCATATATACATACACATTGTTTTCCCGGGGTGATTTGGTAGAGAGAAAGAAGAAAAGATCAGGAAGAGTTTTAAATGGAAGAGAAAAAGAAAAAAAAAAAAAAAACAGAGAGAAGGAAGAGAAACGAACGCCATTGAGCGGCCCCGCGTCCGAAATGAACGAGGTCGATGAGCTCATCGAGGAGCTGATTCGAGACCCACTTCCAATCGAGGACGTCGATGAATGTGGGGAGGTTTTGTTGCTGCTGGAAGCGATTGAAGTCGAGGATCAATTGCAGATTGAGCCGGTCGATTTGGCGGACGCGTTTGCGCGACATGGCGTTATCTTTGGCCAGCGTCAACGAGGAGTCGGGCATTGTCCGGTACACAAATCGAGTGGTTCCCTTATCTCCAGTTTGCTTATTGAAGGTATCAAAGACCAGTTTGTTCAAGAACTTCTTGAACCGATTCGAATGCAGTTCGATTTCCGATTTCGATAGCAGCTCGTGGCCCGTGACTTGCAGTTTAGACATGATCCCCTGGGTCCGGTTCTGATTGATTTGATAATCTTTGCGATTAGAGAGGAACACGAGATCCCAGAGGCCGGAATTAAAGACGACCAGATCGGGCGCAGGAGTCAGAATCTCCGAGTGATTGTAGATCAAAGGTTCGTAGAATTTCTCGAAGCGGGCCTCGAAGTTCTGCGGCGGATCTTCGTCGGGATGGAAGAAGGGCGTTGTAGGGAGGTCGATGTCGACGCTCATGAGGAACCAATTAGCGATCGAGAAGCCGAGCTCGGGGTGGGCGCCGATTCCGATCCGATGGGAATGGTGCGCGGGGGAGTGGATGAGAGGGAGATCTTGGGGCATCAAGAACCGATGGGACGTCTGGCCGAAGGTTTCTTGGGCGAGATGGTAGACCTCGTTGCGGTCCAACGAGTCGCCGATGAAGACCACCGTCCGATTCCGCAGGAACTCCAGCTCCGAGGCCTGTGGATTCGCCAGCAGTTGGGCCGAGAGCGTCGGGATCGTCAGCCGCGCTGATCCCTCCACCCCGTTCGGTCGCGCTAGCCGTCGCCCCCGAGCACTAGGATCATTCGCGTTCCAGCTCACACTGCTGATCGGCCCCTCCGGCAGCTCCGAGCGCTCTACATATCCTGGTAAACGGTATGGGTCGTAACAGTACTCCGGCACCTCCTCGTCTCCCTCCCTCATCCCTCTTAATAGATCTCGAGGATTGCTTGTCGTCCATTGTTCCCAATACTCATCAATCCTGTGTTCTCATACAATAATTTCTCCTTTTGATCAGCTTAGTCGAGGATTTCATCTATGTATTTGATTGAAGGTCAAATATGCTTACCCGAATCCGATAGGAACATCTAAAAACGAACAAGAGAAGAAAAGGAAGACGAGGAAGGCGGCGCAGAAGAGCAGGAGTTTAGAGCGTCGAGCGAGCGATTTGAGAAGGTCGATGAACGACGGCCGAGGCGCTGATGACGATGGTGTCCATTGTAAAGGATTAGCTTCCTTCATATAAGAAAAAGAAACAAACCGTTGCAAGTTTTTTTTTTTTTTTTTTTTTTGGAAATGTGATATATCCGGGTTCCTGGGAGAAGAAGAAGAAGAAGAAGAACCCTGCTGTGTCTGTTTTTGATTCTGAAGATGATGTTGTATATGCAAGCTTTGGAGTGAATTATTCGAGTTGTTTTCACGGGATCCGATTAATATGAGTTTGTTTCCATTCAGAAATTTAATGATGGTGATGCTGAAGTCTACCGGGAAGCAAGAGTCGCAACTCTTTTTCTTTTTTCTTTTTTTTTTTGTTTTTGTTCTCTTCCCCCTCGGATATGTCGATGCATGCATAGCCAGGGAGGATCCTTCCTCTCCCTCGCTCATCCTCCTGACCGGGATCACTCATCATTCCTTGCTCATCAATTCTGTAACTACAAAGAAGCTCGGTAATGGAAGCTTACAAAATGATCTCATGTTTCGAAGGCTGGTGGGGTGGTGTCTGTCATACCACCAAGCACCACCCACCACCGCCACCAAATCCGCAACTGGAGCACTTCCCCTTGGTGTCCCTACAAAAAAAACAGATCGGTAATATGTATGCCCATGAATCAGATTTCCCTGCAAATCCCGACTTCAGTGGGTTCAAATCTGATCCTGTAGGTTCTTCAGCTAATGCCGGGGAAGTCCTCCACTGACTTAAAAAATTCATATCTAGAGCTGAGACTGCAAACTGCAGATCACTTGTGCCTTGATCACTCCAACAACGAAAACACCTCCCCCAAATCAAAATCACTGATCCAGACTTTTGGTTACTTGCATGTTAAACATTGGCCATCATTAAAAATTATGATTATTCTTGTAAAATTAAGTAGATCAGTTAAGGGGGGGGGGGGGCAGGAAGAACCGGTATACAGATATAAATACAAATCAAACCAAAAAAAGAAAGAGTTGGAAAATAGAAAGACCGAAAGGAAGCTATAAACACTTGGTTACAACCGCACACAGTCACTTGTGTATAAAAAGAGAAAGGATAATCATCATCCATCCTGACAAGAAAAGAATAAGTTTTTTTTTTTTTTAAATGTACAACAAGTTGCAAAAGAAGATTGTTGATTGAACGAGAATTTCAAACAAAACATTACCATCAATAAAAAAAAAAAAAACAGAGAAAATTGGTCTTGTTTTTTTTTTCTTAGGGGGAGAGAAAGCCGGTGTTTTGGGGTTGGGAGCTACATCATCTGAACGCTATTAAAATAAAGAGACAAATGCTGTTTGGTTGGGTGATAGATCATAGATATGCCATAATAATCATCGTCTTTTTTGTAGAGTTGAAACTCGAATTGTTTTTTCTTTTCTTTTTCTATTCCTTTTGTTCCTGGTTGATTAATTGATTATTAAATGATAAGATAATACCTTCCATGACTAAATAAAAGACCAGATTGTGATTAATGCGAGCTTTGGTGATCGATTCTCTGGATAATAAAAAAACACATATCAAATCACGATTTGACAGTCAGTTGAGTAACCAAAATAGAACAAAAAGTGGGGGCAAGAAGTGGATTCAGGTGTTACCTTATTGATCCCACCCAAGAGAGCCTTGATAAGGAATTTAGTGGTCACACTACCTTGATAAGGAGTTGTATCCTATCCAAAAAAAACCGAAAAGCTTCAAAAACAATGTCCAAAAAAACTCCCAGATTCTTTTAAAACAAAATTGAGGAAAAGGAGAAAAAAACTGACGACGATATCTCTTCGACCACTCGACTCCGACCTCAACTCATCGTCGAGAGATTTCAAGAACTTGGTGGCATTACGATCGTTGCCGATCTGAATGAACTGGACGCCGAGTTGGTTGAGCGGGAACCGGCCGAGCTCGAGACGGTCCGAGAAGCCCGCCAAGGCATAGGCCAGGGTGTCCGGATCATCCGCCTCTCCATCGGTGATCACAATCAAGTTCAACGGCTTGATCGGCGCCATCTGCGTGGCTTTGCCTACTTCTAATCGGTCAAGACTTTGTTTACTCATAATCAGTTTCTATCTTCTCCCTAAGCTAATAATATCTCTCGGGATTCATGAGATCTACTCAACTATATCCCGAGTAGCTCCTCTACTCTCACATCTGTAGGCGTACTGCGTCCAATAGGCTGGACTCTTCGGAATAGGTTAGTCACATCGGCGGCCGAGGTAGCGTTACGAAGATGTTCGATGGAACTATTGTGAGCATCAGACGAATTATCAGTTCGAGGCTGGTTCTTCTGGTTCTGGATAGAGATATGAGACTGACTTCATAAAGTAGACATCGATTCCATCTGTGTAGATAAACGAAAAACGTCAGTGGATGTCGAGAGAGAGAGAGAGAGAGAGAGAGAAGGGGGCGGAAGGACGGACCGTTATCGTAGTGGACAAGGGTATCAGCTAAGCCAGCGACGGCGACGGCGGCCTCGTTCCAACGATTCTGTTGGCTCATCGACGCACTATCGTCGATCAAGAGCACGGTATCATATCTGGCCAAGATAGCCAACTTGTCTTCGCCGGAGGGAAGATTGGAATGAGCGAGCGGCGCGGCCTGGGTTTGGTTGAGGGCGCTGTTCAAGGCCGAGGCTGCCCCCAACCCCACGATCAAACTCCCCAGTCCTCGTTGTTGACCGGCGGCTTGGCCATTCGAGACGGTGTGTCGATGGTTGGCCGATCGGTTCGGATGGATCGATAACGACTGCGAGCTCCTTCCCAGTCGGCTTTGGGTGCTGGCTTGGATCGGGTTCGTCGATGGGTGTTGCTGTTGTTGTTGGTTATAGTCTCCTTGGAGGCTTGGATGGAATGTATGCCGACGACGCTCAGAAGATTGTTGGTCGACTGCACTGTAAGCTGGTGGAGGAGCATTCATTCTGTCCTGGTGATCTCTCGATATATATATGTTTTTTTTTTCTGTTGTATCCTTGATTGATGTGATTCCTTCAAAAATGTGGTTCTTGGTCAAAAGTCGCTTTGTTGGCCATCCATGTGCCGGCCAAGCCTGATGGGTTTTATACTAAACCGTTCCAGCGGTGCTCCCCCCGTGCAGTGTACCGGGTCAGACTCAAGATGCTGTGATCGGTTTCCCACCTGACCTCCGCGAGTCCGCAACTACACAGCCACTGCCGAGTTTCCTTCCTTCCCCCTCGTCTCATCCCCCTCCATTCATCTTTCATCGATTCCGCCCCACATGAAGGAGAGAAAATACTCAGCTGTAATCACCCATCTCGGATCAAGGCTGGGAAACCAGGACAGGATCTGACACGATGTCTCCCCGACTTACCGTCAGCTCTCCGTGGAAACACTTCATGAATACTCAGCAGTCCAATTATTCAGAGCTGAGATTGATGATACATCGCCTTACAAGGCTGCAAAAACAACAGTTGGGAAAGCTGGAGATCGTCATTATCCATTCCGTGGTCCAAACAGACCCTTAAAGTGTGGCGATCCTGGGATACATAACGTTTTCGGATATCCCTTTCCAGGGTCTGAAGTGCTTTTCCAAATGGCATGTTCGTTTATGGATCTAGTACTCGTGAATCCGACCATCTTACTAATTAGGTCTGCGTAGGATATATTCATAGAGAGAAGCTGGAAAAGTTTTGACTCCTTTCAGAAGGGTGAAACACAATCTCAACAAGTGCCTACAAATTAGGAGATGATGATGATGAAGAGTCTCTGAGATGGGACTCGGAGTTCAGCTGAGATTATCAACAGAAGACAGAAGAACTTCAAAAATGATGGCATTCAAACAATATCCAAAAAGACGAGAACTTGAAAGATAATACCAAATAAAATCCAGAGCAGGGTGGTGGTCCAGGCTGAGGCGCCAAACATAAAACTGACTCCCAAATAAAATGGCATCTCCAGACTGCAAACTGCAGATACATAACAGCTTCTGAATCGCTTCAATGTTCACAAACTCACATCAAACAACTCATCCAAATAAATTCACAGAAACATACTTGTTACTTGATTGCATGCAAATTGTCCATTTACACATAATTAGATTCAAATTATTCTTGCAAGACAATGTATAGAGTCATATAGCTAATTTTTTTTTTGAGGAAAAGAAAGGAAGAAGTGGTACATATAGATATAAATACTGATCAAACCAAAAACTAAAAGTCAACCAAGAAAGAAAGAGATCAAAGCTACAAGAGGGAGATTTACAAACACAAACAATCACTGATGAAAAGAGAGACATTGGCCATCCTGACAAGAAAAGACAATCAAACAAACCCAGCTCTTTTTTTGAAAACATGCAATAACTTAAAACAGAAGAGGGTTGTTATAAATCAAACAATACATCAACATTTATATGCATAAGAAAGAGAGAAAAAGGTAACCTGTATTTGTTTTGTTTGATTTTATTTGATCTTTTTTTTTGGGGGGGGGGGTATATGAAAGGTTGGTATTTTGTGATTGGAAGCTACAATACCAGAGTGCTATTAAGATACAAGATATGTATTGAGCAAAAAGAGAGAAAGTCTGATTTGTTGAGTGAAAGATTTTAGATACCATGTAGGTTTTTTCCCTATGTGTTCGCGGTTGAGACGTAGTTGTTAAACAATAAAATAGTGATGCCTTGGATGACTGGATCAACAACCATTCAATCATCAATGGCTCCCTTGGTTATCGATTCTCTGGATAATAAGAACACATATCAAGTCCGAATGTACAAGTTAATCAGTTAAGAAACAAAAAAAGGGACAGAAAGTGAGAAGAGGATTGATGTATTACCTTGTTGATTCCACCCAAGAGAGCTTTGATAAGGAATCTAGTGGTCACACCTCCTTGATAAGGAGTGAAATCCTATCCAAAAAAAAAGCAATCAAAGCAAGAACTTCAACATCTACGTGCCAAAAAACTGGCCCAGTCTAATAAAACAAATGGAGGAAAAGAAGAAAAAAAAAACTGACGACAATATCTCTTTGACCACCTAACTCAGACTTCAACTCATCGTCAAGAGCCTGCAAGAATCTGGTAGCATCACGGTCGTCGCCAATCTGAACGAATTGGACGCCGAGTTGGGTAAGTGGGAACCGGCCAAGATCGAGACGGTTGGAGAAGCCTGCCAAGGCGTGTGCCAGGGTGTCTGGATCATCCCCCTCTCCATCGGTGATCACGATCAGGTTCAACGGCTTGATTGGCGCCCTATTTGTAGCTCTAGCTTCTTCTAATCGGTTCAGGCTTTTTTTGTTTGTGGGTCTCATAATCAGTTTTTATCTTCTTCTTAACCTTATGAGATTTATTCTTTTGATTCATGGAATCAACCCAACTATACCCCAAGTAATTCTTCTACTCTTACATCTGTGGGCGTACTCTGTCCAACAGGCTGGACTGTTCAAAATAATTGAGTGACCTCGGCGGCCGAGGTAGCGTTACGAAGATGTTTGTCGGAACTGAATATAGTGATGATCCGATGGATTGTCAGTTTAAGGTTGAAAGACTCTTCTTTTTCTTCGTGTGGATAGAGATATTAGACTGACTTCATAAAATAGACATCGATTCCATCTGTATAGATAAAGAATAATTGTCAGTGGTTGTGGAAGAAGAGAGAGATAGGGATAGAAGGGGGTGGAAGGACGGACCACTATCGTATTTCACAAGGGTATCAGCTAAGCCAGCAACAGCGACGGCGGCCTCGTTCCAACAATTCTGTTGGCTCATCGAAGCACTATCGTCGATCAAGAGCACAGTATCATATCTGGCCAAGATAACCAATTTGTCTTCGCCGGAAGAAGGATTGGTATACGAAAGCGGAGAGGCTGGGGTTTGGCTGAGAAGGCTGTTTAAGGCCGAGGCTTCCCCCGATCCTATGACCAAACGTCCCAGTCTTTGATGCTGACTGAGCTGTGGGCCATCCGAGATGGTGTGTGAGTGTCGAGGATTGTGCGATCGGTTGGGATGGATCGACAAGGATTGCGAGCAGCTGAGAGTTCGTCTAAAGGGGCTGGGCTCGTTTGGGTTTCTTAATGGATGCTGTTGTTGCTGTCGTTGTTGGTTATATCTTGCTTGGAGGCTTGGATGGAATGAATACCGACGACGCTCAGCAAATTGTGGGTCGACCACACTGTAATCTGGCGGAGGGCCATGCATTCTATCCTGGTCAATGATCTCTCGATATATTCTATTATTAGGATCTTGTACACCCTTGGTTGATGTGAGAGTGTGGTTCTTGGTCAAGTCTGTCTGTTGGCCATCCCACTTCGGAACTTCCCAGCCTGGTCTGATGAGCTTATATACTTTCCAGCGGCGCACTCCCCCCGTGGAGAGGTAACCGGGTCACCAACCAGCTTAAAATGCTGTGATCGGCTTGAACCTCCGCCCCAACCTCTACAAACTATTGCACAGCCACGGCCCATCGCTGAGTTTTCCTCGCCTCCTCCGGGCCTCGTCTCAACCCCCTCTTCACATCTTTCATCGATTCCGCGCCACAAATGGGAAAATAATACTTCTTATCTCGGATCAAGGCTGGAAAACCTGAGCAGGATCTGACACGATGTTATGTAGTGTCACGACTCTAACTCTCCAGACACAGTTCTTTGGATACTTAGCTTGCAGTAGTCCAACTTGTTAGAGTACGAAGTACATGATTACATAAACATCAAGCATAACTATGTATTTAGATCAGTTTGTACATAGTTTCACTAACCTAGTTAGTGATAGGGCGAAACCTAACCCTATCACTACCAAGCACACAAAGTTCCGGCACCACACGCCCGGGCCTCCTCTCTCTTTCCTCACCGAGATTGGATACCCGGGACTGACGTGTGGTGGCTACCCGTGACCGGACTGTTGTGTGCAGGTCAGTAGTTCATGCTTAAGAGTAATCTAACCGAGATTGGATACCCGGGACTGACGTGTGGTGGCTACCCGTGACCGGACTGTTGTGTGCAGATCCTGAGTTCCTACAGGTTAAAAGCCGGCTCACCTAGATTCACGTTTTAGTCCACGAGGTTTACCAAAGATTTGGGAGCAAGAAGATATCAGTTTATGGAAGATTACCAGATAAAACAACTAGAAAGAGGTTTACGGATTGAAAGATTAGTATTAACAGAAGAAGGAAAATCAGAAGAAGAGATACTTGAACGTCTCGAACAATACCGACAAGAATTCACCTCGACATACGTTAAGATGGATACTTCAACATCCAACACCAATCAACAGGCCCCTCTTACGCCTGAAGCAGCCCTTTTACAGCTTCAGCAGCAAATGCAAGAAATGGTTGCCGAAATAAAAAATCTCAAAGCGAACCCACCTCAACCCCCAGTGGTCGTGCAATCAGATGCCCCGAACTCTTGACAGGAAGTCATACTTCGAAACTTCCTGAAATCCTCTATCTCCCTACATACGGAGGTCAACCCTGATAAGCCAATCCTAGCCTACGATGGATCGAACTATCAGCTATGGGAGGATGCTCTAGATGGAACTCTACAGCATGCCTTTTCCATCACCGAGTCGGTAATCACCAAGACCGACAATTTCAAGAAAATCTCGACGGAGGAAAACAACGCCATTACCGCCTTGATCAAAAATACGATCGTCAAGCCCCTCCGTGATAACATCAACTCCGTTGGCGTGAAGAACGCGAACAAGATGTTCACAATCCTGAAGACCAAGTGCCAGCGATTGGACCGTTGACACAAAATTGATCTGATGTCGAAGCTCGTTGAACTGGTCAATGATATGTCCCCTGCGGATGAATTCACCATCTCGAAATGGGCGAACCTTGTCTCGGATCTGTCTCAATCCAAGCTGACGCTAGACGAGGCAGTTGGAATCCTCCTTCAATCGCATTTCAAACCCCCGATCGGAATCGACAAGAAGACTTTTGAATTCAGCGTCGATCAAAACTTGAACGAGAAAAATGCGCCTTCGTTTGATGACGTGACGACCATCATCCAATCCGCCTCCAGTAAACTCAAACCAAAGACTGGATCGTTGGACCACGTTCCTGGATCTGGACAGAATCCAGGCTCTCAACGGCGGTAACCGGAAATACGTCAACCCTCAACGACGCGGTTCAATCGACAAGACATCCAAGCTGAATCATCCTCAATTCTCGCAAGATCGAGCGGCCCACTACAAAGGCAAAGGTCAATCTGAATCTCTCATCAACCGATATGGGAACTCGTGTGCCTACTGCTCAAAGGACGGTCACTGGTTCTCTGACTGCACGGAGTATTGGAAAGATGTTGCGATGAAAAAGATTTCCCTCCGCCAGCTGACTACGAGACGAAAGAATCGAACTACCTCCCACCTCGTCGGTCTGAACACCACGTTCGAAAGGTCAATTTCCCCAACATGACTGAGGGGGTACTGCTTGACTCTGGTGCTTCGGCTCATGTGAGTGGTAGCTCTCCCCTGTTTTTGGCAACCCGGAAGCTGACGACACCACGCACTTTCTACTTGGCCGTCACCGCATGCCATGTTTCCGTTACCAAAATCGGCAGAGTCACGATTCCGACACCAACGGGGAACCTCGTGATCGATGAAGTGTATCATGTCCCAGGGGTGGATGGAATTATCCTATCGACTGGTCGGTTGATAGCGGATGGGTGGAGACTGTCATATCAAGGAACAGAAGCAACTTTGTTAGATCCATTTAATAATAGTTACTCGACAATCTTTCATAACTACTGTTGGTCGTTAGAAACATTACCTGATCCCCTGAATGTCAATAAAGTTACCCAAATCCCATCTTTTGATCCCTACAAATGGCACGTACGCCTAGGCCATGCATCGGAGGAAGTTGTAAAGCTTTATCTGAAAATGAATTATCCGACGGTGAAAGTGAAATGGAAGTCATTCTTCTGCGATCGTTGCGCAAAGTCAAAGAGCACCTGCCGAAAATCCTTAGGTGTTGAATCGCAAGTCCCCCGAAAGAAGCCGCTTGACATGATGGTATCGGATGTGGCAGGCCCTTTTGAAACCGATGTTCATGGAATGAAGTACAGCATCACCCTTCGCGACCATTCGAGCTCATTTTCGTTCGTTGGCGCAATTGAGAGGAAAGCTGATGTACCGAACAAGATTATGTCTTGGCTCGAACACATCAAGAATTACTTCAACCGGTACCCTACCTACATTCGATGCGACAATGCCCCTGAATACGTCCACGCGCTCCGAAAACGTCTGAATGTCATTGGAGTGAAAGTTGCTCCCAGCGCCCCATACTCCCCTCAACAAAATGGAGAAGCTGAGAGGTTGAATCAAACAATCGGTGACATGGCTCGCACAATGTTACACGAAAGCAAACTTCCCCGTTGCTTCTGGAGTTACGCCTGGTCAACGGCTGGACACATCCACAATCGTCTACCCAACTCAAGGTCAAAGGATAAATCTCCAGTCGAGCTGTTTTATGGTGTTGTACCGAATCCCAATGTTCTGTACCCATTCGGCGCGAAGGCTCTAATTCACATCCCTGAAGAAAGAAGAAAGAAGCTGGACGAAAGGGCTCAAGATGCGGTCCTCCTGGGATATCCAGAGGCTGGTGCCGGATGGTTGTTCTACTCACCCAGGGAACAGCGTTCGATACACTCGACTTCAGCTACTTTTCCGGAATTCCAGAACCTACCCGTGATGAAGGATGTCAAGAAATCTGATCTCGATTTTGTATTGAATCAAATCATGCTGAAATTGGGAGAGGAGAAAACTGACGAAACAGCGGCTGAAGAGGAGAAGCATATCACACAACTCACAGTTGGGCCAGAAGTCGACCTACCGAAACACATCAAGGCAGCGCTCGCGGGGGTAGATTCGGAGTCGTGGAAAGCGGCGGCGATGTATGAGATGGACAAGTTCGGGGAGCTGGACGTGTGGGAGGCAATTGATCCTTTCAAGGGGATGAAAGTACTTGGGGCTCGCTGGGTATTCTCCATCAAACGCAAACCGGATGGGACCATCGACAAGTTTCGCGCGCGATACGTTGCTAAAGGATTCAACCAACAGCTAGGTATTGACTGTAATGAGACATACGCGCCTACTGCTTCCCTCAATACACTCCGCCTTCTCATTGCATTGGGACTGCAATTCGACCTTCCCACTGCCACCTTTGATGTCAGTTCCGCTTACCTATATAGCCCAATAGAAGAGGATGTATATGTTCAACCCCCGGTCGAATTGTTTCCACATCTAAAAGGGAAAGTGATGAAGTTGAAGAAGGCGATGTACGGAACAAAGCAGGCGGCCCGCTGTTGGTGGAAATTCTTCAAGCAAACGGTTGAGAAGCTAGGTTTTGTGGCCAGCGAAATCGAACCTTCACTTTACCTTTTCAAGAAAGGTGACGGTTTCGTTATCATCTGGCTGCACGTTGACGATGGATTTGCAATTGCGTCGGATCGAACTCTCCTGAACCAACTACGCGACGGAATGAAAGAAGGCCTGGAAGTGAAATGGTCGGACAAAGTGGAACGCTTGGTGGGCATCAATATTGACTACTCGGGCGGAGGTGTGTCATTAAGTCAGAGCCAGATGGCGAACCAAATTGTGAAACGATACCCGAAGAAAGTTTATACGAGGAATAGTCCGCTCCCGGATGACGTCCTAGAATCTTTCACCGGGGACCCTTTCAACCAGACTGAATACCGTTCGACTATTGGCTCCCTGATGTATCTATCGAGCGGAACTAGACCTGACATCGCATATCCGGTAAATCTTTTGGCGCGTTTCTGCTCGAATCCGAGTGAAGTCCATTGGAAGGCGCTTGATTGTTTGGTCGGCTACGTGAAGAAGACGGCGGACAAGAAGTTGACTTATGAAGGAAAGGGAGACGGGTTGCAGTTGTGGACGGATGCAAACTGGGGGGGGGGGCATGAATGGTCGACAACGGGGTATGTTATGACATACTGTGGAGATGCAATAGCTTGGGGATCACGTCGCCAAACGGTAGTAGCTCTGTCAACATGTGCGGCAGAACACCAGGAAAAAAGATGAGGAACCCACTATTGGGTGGTTCAGCTTATCCCAGCCCCATCCTTGATATATCAATGACTGTATTTATGCCCTATGCCTGTCCTATTCATTACTTAATTTGTATCTCCATTACCCAGGTATCCCAATTGAACTATTGTGTATTTCAGAAGCATTATATATGCAGCTCAAACATTTGGTCAGAATGAATAAAAATGATTGAGATTGAGGAAATTCCAAGGTGTGAACACAATCATTTTCAAAATTAATAATCAATTCTTTCTCAAAATTATCATAATTATAGATCACAAGATGTAAATAGTGATTTTTTGGTAAAATTTTTATTGGTGTGTGGGAGATTTTTCTTTTCACTTAGCCAGATCGCCAGGCAAAATTTATTGATTCCAATGTTCATTACCTTCCACATAAGATGAAAGCCTTTCAAAAATCATATTCATTTGTATCAGGATTGAGAATTCATATTCCAGGAAGCAAATTCATTTTATTCATTATCAATCATCACAATTTTCATACAAATGAAATTTAATGTAATACTTGGTGAATTTTTTTCAATGTATTTCAAATCCCCCAAAGATTTGAAATCCCATCTGGCTTTGATTCACACATGCACTTTACAGCTCCTGGGAGGAAAAAAAAACAAACAATATGATAATTTAAATTTTATTTTGGATTCAACTGGGCTTTTGAAACACTGCATAAAAGATTCATGTAATTTAGCTTTAATCATCAAGCCTATTAAACTACACATTTGATTTTCTTAAAATTTCCAAATAATGTAGGAAAAAAGTATGAGTACATGAGGAGAAGGAATTGAGTGGCTGGAATGAATTTTATTTTTGAAAGAAACAATTGCCTTTGTCTTTGTGGTTCATTGTAAGGATGAATAGCATTAAGACATAAGAGTACAAGTCAATAATCCATGAAAAGGGGAGCTAGGATTCAAGTGAGTATCTTCCCTCATGAATACCACAAAATGGATAGCACAAACTTTGATACATGATTAAAATCTATAAGTCCATAATAATTCCAATATAACTTGCATTGAATTTTTCAAGATTGAAGGATGGTTGTACTCTTCACAGTGTTTAGTAGATTTTTACCAAAGCATTTCTGATGACTAGGTAGACTATCTCCAATTTCTGAAAAAATGGATCATTCAGGACCACATATTCCAAACAGGTGTTAGGTTCAGTCCTGAGACTTTAATAATTCCAATATAACTTGCATTGAATTTTTCAAGATTGAAGGATGGTTGTACTCTTCACAGTGTTTAGTAGATTTTTACCAAAGCATTTCTGATGACTAGGTAGACTATCTCCAATTTCTGAAAAAATGGATCATTCAGGACCACATATTCCAAACAGGTGTTAGGTTCAGTCCTGAGACTTCCTGCATAAATTAAGGAGATGCATGAGTTTTTTTATTTGAGTGCAAGTCCATGGGATATTTATCACACCTTGATCTGTGTGGATCTGATGAGAAATATTCTGATCATTCATTAAAAAATCAAAACTAATGTTTTCACCACTCAGTTGAATTTTAAAGTGGGCCTTTACATAATATCTTGTTGATTAATTTTTCAAATGTTGCAAACAAGTGAAAAAAATGTTATGGGTGCACTTTAATTCAATGATGGATTTTCAAAGTTGGGATGATATAATCAGAATATTAGAAAAGCTCATTCATGACCAAATCAAAGTATTTCCAATCCTTCACCTTAAAACTAGGATTGAAAATTTCAGATGCAACTTGACATGCCTACTGATGTTTTTGATGAATTTTAACTTTTACTAGCCATTTCATGTTATATTTCATTGAAAATAATGTTTAAATTCCATTTCTACAAGACTTGAAGTACAACCCAAGAAATCAATACTTTTGGTGTTGAAAATTAACATCCTTGAAGAAATATTGGTGAAGCATTTAATTTGTTACTTTTTTGAATACCAGAATTCTAATCATGAGGTTGGTAATTTTGTACATCTCAAGAAACACACGAACAACCTCACATTATTCCAACACCAAGTTCAATTTTTTGATTTTTCTTTTGAAAATCACTTGGAAGATGGAACCTATTCTACAAAGATCTTCCTTCTATTTGAAATATTGTATAGCTACCTGTGAAATAAATGTTTTTGTTGATAAGTTCAGGAAGAATACCTATCCATAAATCACACAATGAAATATTCAACCATTGGAGAAAATAATACACTGCACCAGAACAGACATATGTACATACTTGCATGTATTTACATTAATTTGGCTCATCACAGGTAATGATATCAAGTGAGGCACAAGCAAACAAGGTTTCAAAACCTTCTTAGAAATGTGTGATATGGTGATATTATCAAGATTGTTGATTTGGATCGGTTTAGTATAAAGAGTGTTAATATTTGATATTATATCACCAAACAATGATGCCCAAAGTTGCGAAAAACCATCAGCTTTGTAGATAATAATGTCCGGTAGGGATTGGTATATATATCACATATGGATTAGTCATTTAGAATAATCTACTGTCAACCTCTTTCCTTTTTCTTCTAAAACTCTCCAAAAGACGATACCTTAACCAGAATCTTCTAGTAATCTATTGCAAACCCCATTCAATACCTCATAAATACTTCAGGAATGTCTTCAATATTTTGCTTAGGTTTTTTTATTTCACCAGTCATCCTTACTCAATCCTTGCGCTCATCTCAGAACGGTCTTCAAGACGCTGTTTTTCATCGAGGAAGGAGTAATATACATGTACTATGTTCCAATTATGAACGGGTTGGTGACTTGTCTGGAAACCAAAGCAAACATCTTGGCCCCTTAATTGGTCATATCGGTAGCGTTTCTGAACCGATTACCCTCAAGGCACTCAAAGAATTGGAAAATAAAATATATCTACGAATTTTTTATGTACATCCCTCAATGAGGACAGAATCATTTGTTCATGGATTCGTCTTTTCTCAACAAAATTTTATTACTCAAGTTAGGAAGTCTTTCCACCTAGCAAATATCATGCTTAAGCACATACCCAGCTACGACCCCACTCATTTTCTGGGTGTACAACAGACAGAAGACATGGTACCGCCAACAGCTATTGAAGAAGACAATCGACATACCATACCAGGCTGCAAAACGAAGCTGATGGATCATCAAATCAAAGCCATCAAGTTTATCCAACGAAGCGAATCAAATCTTTTCTCAACACCACTAGAGATATGGGACGATTCGGATAATCGGTGGGTCCACAGAGTCTTCGAAGATGCTGTTCGGAAGGGTTATCTTGGGAAACACATCAAATTTGATGCTAAAGGATGTATTCTTGCGGACGATATGGGTCTTGGCAAGACATTGACAACTTTATCGGTCATCCAACTCTCCAGTGAAGAAGCCTTGAAATTCTCCCGTCAACAACCCGATGTAACAAACTTGATGCCAACCTCAGCAACGTTGATAATCTGCCCCCTTTCGACCCTTGAGAACTGGAAGAACGAGATTAATACACATTTCAAAACAGGAAGTCTTCCGTTCAAAACGTACTATGGTAAAGAGAAATATACGATTGAGTTCAAAGAAATTGCTCAAGTTGCAGTCGTACTAGCAACATATGAGTCAGTATCAATGCAAATGAAAAGCAGTCAACAGGTCGGGAGCAGCAATGATGGAGAAAGCAGGAAGTTGGGTTTGGATTTTTCACGTATAAAATGGTTTAGAATTATTCTTGATGAAGCACAGTAAGTAAACCAACATTATTTGGAATGATTTTTACTATTATACTGAAATCAATTTTCAGTTACATGAAGGATCCAAAGACAAATAGGAGCAGTGTAATACTTGGATTGGAAGCAGAACGACGATTATGCCTTACTGGGACCCCTTTGCAAAATCAGCTTGGAGACCTCCATAGCTTGATGAAGTTCCTTAGAATCGAACCTTGGATGGAAAATTCAATTTGGAAGACATGTATTGAATCACCAGTTGAGATGTGCGATCCCCGGGGAATTGCAACATTACAAACAATCATGAACCGAATCAGTATGAGGAGATTGAAAACTACAATCTTGTCTCTCCCTCAGAAACACGAAACAATTATCAACCTTGAACTGAAAACTCCGTGGAATGAAATATACGAAAGAAATCACCAAGCATTTTCCGACCAATTTGGGAAGAATCGGACATCAGGACAAGGTTGGAACTCCAGCAGTTTCTTCGCTGAGCTTGTGGATTTAAGACAACTGTGCAATCACCCAGCATTGATGGAAAAAGGAGTCGGGACCGGAAAATACTCGTGGGACGAAAGCTCAAAGATTGTCCACTTAATGCAAGACCTCAAGTCATTCCTGAGAAGTGGTGTTCAATTTCGTGCGGTAATTTTTTCAGAGTTCAAAAGGTTTCTAGAAATGTGAGTTTATCACTTGAATACCCATATATAGTTCTTGTACTTGACTAACATTAGCATTCATATTATCTCAGAATTGAAGTAGCTCTAAATGAGGAGAGGATTTGTTTTACAACCCACTATGGAAAAACAGAAAACGATACTCGAAGGAGGAATTTGGAACGCTTCAGGGAGGATCCGCAGTGTAAAATACTCTTGGCAACAATAAAGACAGCTGGAGTTGGGATAGATCTGAGGTGTGCCCAAAAGGTATACATCATGGTAAGTCCTTGAATGAAGAAGTTGGGAATATTGGATTGAAAAGGCTAAGTTGAACACATTTCTGATTAGGAGCCAACATGGAATCCGGCAGTGGAGGAACAGGCGATTGACAGACTGTACAGAATTGGGCAACAGGAGCAGATACAAGTTGTGAGGTACTGTGTGACAAACAGTATTGAAGGGCATATTTTTCAGATTAAACGTAGGAAAGCAGAGCTTGCAATGTGTGTGATTACCTCTCCTATTTTTATTCATCTCATGGAACATACGTTATTGCAAGAGACTAACTTCTTTAATTGTATCAGGTTGAGTGTACCGTTGAGTGGAAACCTGGAATTTGAAATGGTGAGGAAGTTAATTCAGGATGGCAGTGTTAGTAAATAAGTAAATGGGCTTGTGCATACATACATTATTCTGTACAAACCTCTTTGATGATGGCTTGAAGATCTATTTTGTCCTTAATTCTTAAAACATTGATGTCGGTTTCATTGAGGGAAGCAAGGAAATTTGGGTGGTAGCAGTTTCGCGGGAGTCCTGAGGGCACGTTGATTATTTTTTCTCGTAATTCACTGGTTTGGCGGAGTAACCAGATAGAAGTAGTATTGGTGTAGTACTTTTTACCCAGTTTTTCAGCCTTGTTTTTCTCAAAGAACTTGTCAAGGTGGTAAGCAAGCTCTGTGAATAGAGTTGATCGCCAAGGACACTGAACTCTATGGAAATTCCCATCGTCAGTTTGCTCTGTGTCCGAGCAGCATGTTGGTTCACTGAATATGTCTGTCTGTTCATCGGAAGGTCCAATAAGGTGAGCATTTCAGTACGGTTATGAGAGAGCTAAAAAAATTGCAATGAGTCAGTTACGCAAAAGTAGGAGTCAAGCCATAAAATAAGTCCAACTGACTTGTTTGCGCCATTTTGACTTTTTCACCTGGATAGCTTTCTTCATTACTGAAACTGGGGAGTATTTGTTTTTTCGGATGTCATTGCTTTTTCCTACAAACCACCTTTTGAGCACCGCCATTGAATTCACAGAGTTGTTGTGTTTTGAATTGAATGGGAAATTTGCAAAGGCGCCGTATTTGTAACAATGATTCCAGTGCTTCAGGAGGAAGGCCGAGAAAAGTTGATTCCAGTGAGAGTCCCAAGGTTCATGCCACGCAAAAGTTGGATGGGGGAAGTTGGCTGCTTTCAAATCCGCAAGGAACAATTCCCGACAGTCCAACGAGATACCATGTAAAACATGGGGTTTTACAGGGGAAAGCTTTATTCTGGATTGAATGGGATGGCTTGTAATGGTTAGTGGAAGATTGTTGGCATGTTGAAGTTGTTCTGCTGAAGGTGAATTTTGCCAGTGTTGTTCTTCTAGCTTTTTGATATTTAAAACAAGACGGCAGAAGGAAGCAATACACCTGGAGAAATGAGAGTTGGATGGGGGTATGATGCTGGAGAGAGCTTTGTTGAGAGTTTGTATATTGGAGGGGGCTTTTCCATTCTTCAAGTTTTTCACCATACTGAGAGCAAAGAGTCTAAGGTAAGAAGAATTTTTTGAAAAGAGAAGTTTTTCTGTTTTGCCAGGATAAAATAAACAAGTTAGTATTGATAGAAAAAGAAAAAAGGGACAGATTGATTGACATAAGAAGTTATAAATAGAAAAGTGTAATTTGTTATATCAAGTCTCTATTTGAGACATTAGCTTGAAGGATTCAATATCTGTGCTCCTGGTGTAATGAGCAGGATACATTTATCTACTGTCATCCTCAAGCCCAAGGGTTTCAGTAGTGCAGGCTTATTTTGATGTGATATGATATCCAACGTTGGATAAGCCATGAAGTCTATTTGTTGTTTTAAGCACGCCGTGCTTAGTGATCGAGGATGACTATGTGACATGTCTGTGTCAGGGGATCAATGTTATGATAAGCACGGCGTGCTTAGCAATACAACCAACTCCTAAAAAATGAGAACTTGTAATTCAAGTTCCCCGCAGTATTACGCAGTAGGTGAAAGGTTTCACCTTGCATAATGAGGTTTCTTGCATGTGATACATTTAAACAGCAATTGGAAACTTGAAAAAATCAACCCAAACAATTAATATCAGACTCACTTCTATCAATCCTTGTCAAATGAGCACCCGATGGAAAATATGCCAATGTACCGAGTTTGGATGCAATCAAGAAAGCTATCAAGACCTAGAAAGCAAAGGAGAGAAGAAAGGCAAGGCATGGTCAGTTACTTCATTTAAGAAACACTTGAATTCTCTTTTAAAGAAGCGGGAGAAGGATCAGAAACAAAGGTCTATTGAAGAAGAGCCTCAGGGAAGTGGAACTACACAGGTATCTAACTGTTTCAATTTTAACTATGGTCATTCAAACATGTGTGGCTTACTTGACTTGCAAATAATATGAAAAGGCCCCAGGAGAGATACTCGTTGTTAATCAAACCGAAGATGGATCCACCGAAAAGGAGAAGGCCGTTGCAAATGGTTACCTTGTGGTCGATACTGAGTTGTCAAAAGCAAACACCTTTCAGCTAATTCCTCGGCACAGCCTTACGACAATGCTCCAAGCGGCTAAACTTTCTCTGGTCACTAGAGTTAGTGACAAGAAGATAACGGATTTCTTGAAGACCGAACACAAAAAAGTGCAACAACTTGCTGAAGAATTTGCGTTTGATGGATCTAATATAATCATGAACATACCTCTTTCAAAACCCACGGTCCTCCAAAAGCTAGGCCTCGAGAATGATTTTTCGGAAGAAGTTTGCTGTCCAGAATGCTTCAAGCTATACCCTATTCCGCAGATTCCTAAGAAGAAAGGTGAAAAAATTCCAGAATTAATAACTACATGTAGGACGGTTTTTTATTCAGAATCCAAGAAATTTTTAAAGAAAGTTGGTGAAGAAGTGCAATTCTGTAGTACGAAGCTAATGGACGTGGAGAAAGATGGCGATAAAATCATGAAAATTATTCCAACTCGAACTTTCACTTTCCAAACTTTGAAGGCCTGGCTGACACATAAACTCTGGCTCCCAGGATTCAAAGTTCTACTGGATTCAAATCTCAAACATGAAATTCCCTCAAATGGAAGAATGGCTGATGTGTGGGATGGAAGTGTATGGAAAAATCTAGTGGGACCTCAAGACTCTGATGAAACATTCACATCAAAGCCTGGGCACCTCGTCTTTAGTCTTTATGTTGATTGGTTTAATCCATATGGAAACAAAAGTGGCGGGAAGTCTGTATCACTGGGGGCAGTAGCCCTTGTCTGTCTCAATCTACCACTTGCCGAACGTTACAAGATTGAAAATATCTACTTGTTTGGAGTGATCCCCAGACCGAAGGAGCCAAAGGTCGACCAAATGAACCATATACTGGAGCCGCTTGTTGAGGAGATGCTTGATTTCTGGAAAGGGGTGTGGTTCACCAAAACAATTGGCTTTCCCAAAGGCCGCCTAATATTTGCAGCCATATTTCCGTTAATAGGTGATTTACCAGCAATTCGGAAAACAGCAGGTTTCGCATCACATGCAGCAACAAGATTTTGTTCACTCTGCGAGATCACAATTCACCAATCTGAAGTTATAGGAATTAATAATTTTGAACCAAAGACGCACGAGGCCCACATGGAAAGAGTCAAACGATGGGAAGAAGCTACCGACCATGCAACCAGAGAAGATATCGCAACAAAGGAAGTGGCCAGGAGCTCTATTCTGAACAAGCTACCCTACTGGCGGCCTGTTGATCATTGTGGCATTGAAATTATGCACGTTTTGCTCTTAGGAAACCTGAAAGACCACAGCTCGACCTTCTTGAAAACACCTGAAGCCGGGAAGGATTTGAAGGCTCTAGAAATTCTTGAAGGCAAGTGGAAGAAGAAACACGTCTGTGGAGTAGATATATTTCAAGGCCTCAAGTTCCCTGATCAGAAGCGCAAGAAGACTCCTGATGATGATGGAAGTAGCACAGATGAAGAAGGTATGGGAGGGAGAAAGAGACACCTGCTTAGCTCAAAGAACCTATCCCGATTATCACGTATTGAAGAGGATGCAGCTGGTCCTTCAACACAAATGCGTAGTGGAAGTCAAGTAGCATCCAGGAAAAGAAGCTCAACAAGATCAGGATCAGCATCAAGAATCTCTGTTGATAGTTCAACCTCGGGGTCAACTGTACGCCGCTATGATCTGCGTGCAAGAAGTGTCCTAAGCGCATCATCACGAGGAACTGGAACGGTGATTGAAGAGGATGTAGAAGAGGCCAATAGTGTGGCTAACAGAGAACAAGTTGAAGAAGAGCCAGGAATCCCAACAGGACAAGAAGGGGATCATACTGACCAGCCAAGAATGGTGAAAGAAGAATTGCGGGTTTTGCAAGATGTCATCACTCAGACACAGATTTCTACTTGGGTGTCGAGAGTCCCTCACAGTTTTGGATTGTCGGGTTCGGGATCACTTAAAGCAGCAGATTGGTTAATACTATATACGGTTTATTATCCACTTGCAATGGTCCCATACTGGGTGATTGGCAATGACTGGCAGAAGAAAATCATTGAAGGATCTGGGGCAGTGTCACATCAGGATGTTTTGCGAGACTCACTGGTCAAGTTAATTGAAATTACAAATATTCTCATGAAGCACCATCTGGAACCAAACGATATTACCCGATATTCTCAACTAATCCTGGAATACCGACAAACACTCCAGCTTGGCTGGCCAACACAAAATAGCAAACCCAACCTCCACTTATCCGAGCATTACCCCGAGGTCATCAAGAGGTTAGGTCCACCTATGGCTACTTCTGCATGGGCTCAGGAGCGTCTGAATGGAATGCTGGGAAAGATTCCATGCAACAATCACCTTGGTAGGTAATCTCAACATTTTACTGTGTGCATCAGAGCAAAAGGGCTTACGTGAAATTCCATTGTTGATAAACTTGAAGGGCAACTCGACAAGACGTTAATGAGCAGCTGGAATAAGAAAGCACGATACTATGGGATGATTAATCAGATGGAGCTAGGTTTGGGAAGGAGTATCAGAAGTTTTATCAAGGAAACCACGTAAAAAAGACAATGACAAGAAAAGGAAAAGACCACAGCACTTGATTCAAGAGTCTACAAACAATGGAAAATTCAGATGCAGAACATAGGGTTTCCAGGGAAATACGTTGGGAGGGGGAGGTCAAAAATATGGTGATTACCGTGAAGAGTGCTCAAATGTTCAATCGGAGATACGTTGCATCAAAGGATTTATTCGAAAATCCCCCCGGAAATTCAAATGTGGAGACAGAATATTTGGGAGGATCTCCTTGCTATTTTCAGATTCAACAAGGGATGATGTTTGGTTTGTGATTCGGCCTTTTGCAACATTGAACCGTTGGGACCAGGAAAAGAATCCATACAAAGGCCTTCCACAGCTCAATGTGAAGTTACTCTACTCAAGAAAATTGGAGAAGGCTGTTGTTGTACATCAGTCAAAGGTTGTGGGGCATATAGCTATTTTAGCAAATAAAGCCGGTACATTTGGGATCAACCAAGGGACCATTTCAGCAGTCAGTCTTGGCAGTGTTGTAAGCATTTTCCAAATTTTAATTAATCTTACATCTTGCACCCTGAGGTAGTTTATTGACCCTTGTTTGTGTCTCTGTTTACAGGCATGGAGCCATAACGTTGAGTTGGAAGAATAAATTGCTAGATTAGATGCTCCTGTTGAAACTTAATTTCTCACACCACATGCAACGATATTTTTCGGTTAAGGGGGATGATTGTTTATATTTGGT